GCGTTCAAGGCCAAAATGAACATAATCGTGAGAACCACGATGTGTCAGAAGGTATTTTGTATGAAATCTATTGTCTTAACTTACACAAACAGCTGAACAATTCAAGACATCGTGTCCATTGGTTAGCTAGTAGGTCTGATAGGTTATCATTAGGGAAGGTTCAAGGCTGAAAGCTACCTATCCTGATGCAAGATATTTTCGATTTATACTCTTTCGAAAAATTCTGCATATTGTTGCATTTTCGTTGTCATCAAATTCCATTCATGTGAGGGATTGTTAGAAATGATTTTGGAAAAAATAGTTTTTTCCTTAACTTGGGTCTATTTCTTAGGTGGGACTCATGCGCCAAAGTTGGCGGGTCTAAGTGATAACGCGTTCTATGCCGCGTTGTAATTCACGTAATATATTTGGTTGCTCAAAACCATTATCAGGTAAATGGGAAATTGAAACCAAAGTAAACTCTATGGAAATGGAGTTTTTGGTTGAAATTCCTTAAGGTTTGAATTAAAGGCTTGTCCCACATTGGGCTGGTGTGAAAACTTTTATGGGTTTATAAGGCTTGAGTTTGCAACTTGGGGAGGGCCCCAAGAGGCACCCTAAGTTTGTAGAAAGGAGAGGTTATAGGCAAAGTGGGCTAGACCCATTGGACTTAAAAATAAACACACAAGCGTGTACCGCCGCCGTCCGTCCGATCTGTCGGGTGGGCTAGGCTAGGCCTGGGCTTGGGCGCGGGTGCGTGGTGTGAAGTTGGGTTGGACTTGTCCAACTCAATACTAATTCTTTTTGGGCCAAAAACATTTGAATTTTATTTTATTTTTTGGTAAAATAAAATCTGTCCAGTTTTAATTTCAAATTTTGATTGAAAAAAAAAATTCAAATTTGTTTGCACCTTTTCAGAATTTTGGTATATGTTCCAAACATATTTATATCTATTTAAATTCTGTTTGCACATATTCAAATCTGTTTAAATTCAAAACCCAAACCCAAACAGTGCCATATCTGTTGGATTCAAACCGAACAGGTCTTGTACTTGTTCAAATAGGGTTGGTACCTATTTAATTCAAACCGAACAGTCATCTTTCCATCTATAAATAGGCAGTCCCTCATTTGGATTTAACATTCAATTTTCGTTCTTCTCTGCTGCCATAATCTCTGCACTTTGCTGCATTAATTTTATGTGAGAAAGAGTGCGCACACAAAGTGTGTTCGTTGTGCGAATAATTTGTAGTACTGCTATTATTCGTTGTTGATCATTTTATCCTGGGAAATAGACGTCCACCATCTAAAAGTATCATGGAAATGACGAATCTGTCTTAAGGACACAGTGTTAAACACTGGACTTGATCAAAAATTTATTCGACAAATTAATAAGCTTAGTAATTAATTTATTTTTCTGTTTTATTATTTTTTTGTTTCAAATTTTGATTTTGATTTTGTTTTTGTAACAAAATAAAAATATGTTTTATTTATTTATTTTATATTCTGGTTTGATTGTTGTAATCAAACAATCTCTCTCCTTTCCTTTTTTGCTTTTGTGTTCTGTTTGTTATTGAGTACACAAATAGAATTTATTCATAATACTGTGAAAATTGTCCAATACATATAGTTGAGGGAGAGCAATTATCTCTGATCTCTTATGTAACCTTTTTTATCATAATGGAACTGGAGTGACTACGAATGTAGCCCTAGTTTTAAGGTGAATCACATAAGTCTTATATTCTTTTCGTGTGCGTGCGTAATTTATATTTCTTGTACGTTTGATCTTCTCTGTTTTCACATCCTAATTGGGTGTTGTAGATTCCTAGCAAAATCTGGATCAAATTGCCAACAGAGTAGATGTGTAGTTCCCTGCACTGACTTGAAGAAATTGACTCTAGCCCCAGTGCTAATTTAAGTCAGGAACTGACAAATCAAAAGTCATTATCAAAATAATCAATTGGTAAATAGACTGTTATTCTTGTTTCAATACACTTTTTTCTTTTATTTTCTTTGACTCTGGAATTGTATCAAAATGCTCAACAGAGACGAGCAAAGATTCAGTAGTCTATGTTCGCCAGTTGACTAAAACATTTAAATGAGCAGAATTAAGCTATAACTTCAATTCTAAATTGGGGACACCCAGATCATAAGCACAAAATCTATGAAGAACAAAAAGAATATTGTTGGAAACACACTCATCGACAAGCCAATGATTTGGATATCAGGTACATAACATACCAACCCTGTTCTTAAATTATTGCCTAATATGAACTGATTAAGATGCCTAACTGCATTTTTTCACTCCATTACGCAAATTTAGTTTTATCGTTGAAACAGTGTGATAATATGATGGACTGAGACTCACTTGAGAAATCTGTTATGAGGTCATTCTTACGAGTATTAAGTCTCTGTGGAGTTAGAGCTTTCTTTTGGACTCTTTGTAAACTACTTTGAAAATATCATTCATTGCTATCGTTGACAAATTAAACAGTCATTAATACACTTAGCTCATGCACATGTCTCAGCAGATACTAACGCGGGAAAAAAAAAATTTGAAGGACTTGAAGTATCGAGGATGGCCCAATCGTTGACAGAATGGCTGCGTGATCTGCGGCATTTTGTGACTTGGAAGAAGTAAATTCCGGCACCAAACTAAATTCATAATTTAAGTCACTTGACATTAACAAGACAACAACCTTCAAGGACATCAGTGTACATATTTATTATACTGTTATAAACTTATACAGTTGATATAACAGACCTCTTGGACTGTTGAATGGTCTCAAGATGCACATTGTCTAGAGACAACTTCTATGGTTTTTGTCTATGTGGAGTCTATATGATCCAAACAAACTAAATGAGAAGATTTCAAGAGAATTCTTAATGGTTTTTGGGTGGTTCAGAAAAGTAAACCAAATTTGAGTGCAGCAAGTGGGCACAGCTTCTACCAGATGAAGGGCCTAAATCAGCAGTTAATGCCAACTGCACTCGAATCTTTCTTTTGTGTTCATCTACTTCCAAACTACCTCCATGCAAAGCATTTAAGAGTAGCAATTGTGTTCTATTCAAATTTATGGATTCAAAAGGTTATATGAGGGGCCAGATACACTTATGATTTGGTATCTACCACAGGGCTTTAAAAGCTATGCAGAAGTCGCAGTAAAGAAATGATTAACTCATACTTAGCTAGATACTGTTACACTGTGTTTGGTTGAGGGATTTAGGGAGGAATTTGGAAAGAAAAAGGAAAAATGTGTGCGAAACTAGGTGAAATACAAGTATATTTTATTCACATTTCACTTACTTTTTCCATTTCTTTTTCCAAATCCCTCCTTAAATCCCCAACCAATTAAAACTCATCTAAGCTAAGGATCTTATCCCTAAAATCTTTGTCCTTTGTCCCCTATACTACTAACTGTACAATATAATGGGAATCTCAAAACATGAGAATCTCGAAGCACAATTGTGTGACTCAGAGTGAATTAAGACATGTTACAATAACTCTTGGACAAATAATTATGTGTCTTTCTTTCTTTCTTTTTCTTTTTCTTTGTCTTTTTTTTTTAGTACATCAATAAATAGTTATATATACAGCCTAGGTACTGGGGAAGGGGAGATAGGGAGCCCATGGCGGGGGCAAGGGTCGAACCAGCACCTCCCACTTAGAGTAGAGATGTGGAGAAGGGTGGCTTTGCTTAAATTTAAATAATTAGTAGATCATTCATAAAAATTACAAAAAATATAAGAGTTAAATTGAGAGCATATTTTTTTTTGTATATATTGAATTGGTGCCTATTTTTGTTAATTTTGATTGTGTAGCAAATGAAAATTGTGGTATTCCTATTTTTTTGAAATCACAGTATACCGTGTCAATGTTTGTTAGTCTGTCTTTCTAAAAGTACTATAGGAAGTTACCAAATTGAAATCCTAGACAGAAAGCGATGGGGACCCCAACCTTATCTAAAATGTTAGTTGCTCCTAGGCCAAGAGTATCATCAATCTCCACACAAGAAAATCAGACATGAAAATTTAACATTTGAGGAGAGGAGAGGAAGGGACAAAAGTTATTATCCCAGACAATGAGCATATGACATGTAACATTCTTGATTCTTGTCTGCTAGCTCTGGAATAAAGTTTTTTTTTTAAACATAACCATCCAACTAAGGACCACATGCCCTTCTCACACTGAATGATGCTAGTGGATACATGTCCATTAGTGTGTGATTATGCATCCTAAAATACACAAATCAGCTCAGAAATTATTGTGATTTTCCTTCTAATCACATGGAACCTAAGCTTTTATAGTTCAATTATTAATTCGTCCGAGGCAGTCCAGTAGCTGAATCATTCAGCACAAACATGTGGTTATGTTCTGTCTTGCTTCTTCAAGATTTCAAAATCCACAACTGCAGTTATTGTTATTCTTGATGAAATTAGAAGCATATTGATTGTTCAAAAATTTCTTAATTTGTTCCAGTTTTTATGCAATTTAATTCCATATTTTCCCATTAGTTCACAGAAGATGTGAATAAAAACTCAAATCTTGATAAATAAATAAAAATTTGGGTATTTTTCTCAAAAATTGTGAACCAAATTGTCTTTCATACGATCCTAAAATGCTATTCCTTATGTGGTTGCAACATTCTGAATGGTTTTCCGGGGATTCTAATCATAGCTTCCCAAAATTCCATATTTTCCCATTAATTCACAGAAAATGTGAATAAAAACTCAAATCTTGATAAATAAATAAAAATTTGGGTATTTTTCTCAAAAATTGTGAACCAAATTGTCTTTCATACGATCCTAAAATCAATAATAATAATAACATAACGATCCTAAAATGCTATTCCTTATGTGGTTGCAACATTCTAAATGGTTTTCCGGGGATTCTAATCATAGCTTCCCAACATTCTCCAATTCTGAATCATGGGTTGTGACCATTGCTCATATGTGCAGCTCGCTGCAGTGAAGTTTGTTAGATGCAAAACATTACTCCAAACATGAACAAGAAAATATACAAATAACAAAAAGGAATATATAGATTCTCTGTAAATATTTGCATCAACAACATAATTGATAACCGAGGTAGATACAGATACCATAAACAAAGCACAAATATTGATCAACTGGCAAGTTGATAGAGGGATCAAAATTCTTTCATGTGGAAAAGAAAAGAGACCTCTACCACGGATTTTAAAAAAAAAAAAATTGATTCAAACAACCTTCATAAATTGAAGTAACCAAGCATTTTTTTTCCTATATGTTCTTTAGGGTTTGCAGATTACCACAAAGCAAGGAAGGAGAGCTTTAGGATTCAGCAAATAAAGCTCCTCAATATTTGAATAAAGACCCACTTTCCCAGCCAATGAATCAAACCCTGACTGCCCAGCCATTTCTTGTATGTTCTCCAGTGGCCTATGAACCCTTCCTGCAATAACTCTGCAGACTATTAAAGCTTTCCTTACAGATGGATTATCTTCAAAAATTTCTATAGATTCAAAAGCTCTTCCACTAGTAGAGGTTGTGAAAACACCGACACCACCCTTAAGTTCCTTTCTGGTGGAGAACCCATTTCTTATAATTCTACAAACGCAGCATTTTTCAGATACACAGAGAGTGGATGATCCATTCATGCCGAGTGAGCACGCCACAATTGTGCCATAGAACCTTAAAAGCTCATTCCCATCTGCAATGCACCGAGAGTGTTTCTTGGGAAGTTTGCTAGCTTTGATTTTCACAACTTCCCTATATTCTTCAAACCGAGCAAGAGTCTTTTGCATGTTGTGAACTTTCAAAACCCTCTCAATTCGACCACAATGGTTCTCAGACTTTAGCCAGCTTGTCCGGCAAATTATTTCAACTATTTTCCTAGACGAATCACCCTCCACGAGTTCAGTGACTGCACAATACAGCAACAAGAAAGATGCTGACAAGCATATCTAAGTTTTAAAGAAATGAGAAAATTGAAAAAGTGAAGGACTAATAAACCAAATTCTAAGTATGCTGGATTGAAAGAATTCAAGAATTTTGGATAAATGAGCTCAGCAATATCTGGAAAATTACTAGCATTTGGATAAGAAGCCATTACTATCTTTTGCCAAGGAACAATGGGAAATCCAGATGTACTTACCAAGAGAGAGAGAGAGAGAAATCTAGAGGTTGGAAATACAAAATTTACAGCAAAGGGTAGTGAGTGCGCTCAGTAATTATTGTTGAAAAGTAGAAAAATATTGAAAGAAAGCTGCAGAGGAATCAGGATTTAGGGTTCAATCTAACAGCAGAAAAAGAAAGAAAATCAATTCAATTGGAAAAAAGTAATTACAGTACATTTAAGTTATTTTAGAGAAAAAAAAAATGACATGTTCTCAATTAAACAACTGATATAAATCCAAAAAGTGAAATCTATAAGAGCCTATACGTTCGCAATCATATTTTCATTTGGAGAAAAGTGCCATTTAAATTTGAAAAATATGTAACCCCCAAATTTCCATGGAAGAACAGAGCAACCAAACACAAATCCAAAGTGAAAACAAGAAGCTGAAAAAAAAGAAGAGCACAATGAGGATTTTCTTACCTGCATGCTTAGAAAGATGATGTGCTTCAAGAGCTTCCCACTTTCCAAACTGCTCTCCACACTTGTGGCATGTCACAGCCAATGGCCCATTGCCATCTGTCTGAAGAGAAATCTTAGGGTTTGATAGAGTCCCATTTCCACCACCAGCAGAATTAGCAGAACCCCCAAATCCAGAACCTTCCCTATGAGACCAAAGGGCAGCAGTCTTTCTTTGAGCCCTAATTGAAGGGTTAAAATAATGCATTGTAGGGTGACCACCTGGACCAGGTGTGCCAGGCCTTAGAGTACCCACAAATGTTGAGTCACCACCACTCTCACCCCCACCGCCACCACCACCACCTCCCCCAAAACCAGTAATTTTGAGCTCACACCTTGAATTACTCAAAATCACTTCATGGGTTATTGGGTTGAGGAACTCACTGCTCCCTATAGATCTTGGGCTACAACTTGGGGGCTTTTCAATGTGCCTCTTGCTTCCATGAATGACATCCTTGAGATTTGCTATGGACCTTGAACAGCCTGACCTCCCTGCTTTCCTAGTCAAGATTGTGCTCAAGTGTCTCCTGGACTTCGGATCATGAACATCCGACGGCTCTGATTTGCAGTGCAGAGATTTCCTCAAAGAAAACCACACTGTAGGCATATTTTCTTCTCTCAATCTTGTTTGCAAGTTTCAAAGATTCATACCCTTCAAAGCAAGCCCTAGCTTTTTCTTGCTCACAACTTTCTTCAAAAGCATTCCACTTTCCATTTCCATTTCCATTTCCATTTTCCTCCCCTTTTCCACCATGAAAGAATGAAAGCTGAAAAGGGCTGTATCTCTTACTTTCTAGCTTTGGAACCAATACATGAAGCGCTCTTTAGAGCTTTTTCAGAAATGGGTGTCCATGAAAGGAGCAATTATTCAATTCAATAACCCATTGGGTGGGGGGTAGGGGGAGAGATGAGAGAGAGAGGTGTTCTTGGAGGACAAGACATGACAACCCAAGGCTGATAAAACGATTTCCCCAGTAATAAATGCGAGTGAACAACCAGAAAGAGACGCATTGAATTGGGAATTGATTGAGAGTAATCAGTAGAGTCAGCTCATTTTTGAATTGGGAATTTTTTTAATAAATCACAGCATGTGTGAAATATTTTGTTTAAAGAATACAACAAAGATCTGGGTTCGACTAGCCATAACCATAATGTCCTTTCAATTCATTCTTTGATCCAAACTCTGATTTTGGCACCTTGTTGGTGGGGGCACTTTTTTTTGTCCTTGTCCTTTATTTATTTGTTTCTTTCTTCTTTTCTTCAAAGATTATTCTTGGCTTTTCAATTTGTAGACGGTTTATAAAATAAAAAGAAAAGTTAACAAAAAATGTTTAGGAAAAATAAAATGGAAACTAAAATTCAAATATAACTACCTTGAAGTTTTTTGTGATTCGGCAAAAGATTGGGTAAAAGTCCGTTGTTTTGGCAATGATACTGTCCTCTTAGGATGTGTTTGATTGAGAAAATTGTTTATTATTAAAATTGTAATTCGAGGGAGGTTCTTTATTCGATGTTTATTTTTTTTTTAGTCCATCGAACATGGAGTCCGGCCGGACTCCTTATGCCTCATATAGGAGACTATTGTATCCTCGGGGGTATGGGACAATTATCGAGTGACTATCCACTGTTGGATTAGGTGATGAAATGACCATTTTGACCTTCTACTATTTAATTATGTATTATATTTAGTAAAATTCAATAAAATTTAAATGTCTCAATTTAAAAATAAAATAATTTTGTTTAATTTTTTATTGATGTTTTATTTATTTAATTTTTTAAAATAATTTTTTATAAATATTTTATTGATGTTTTATTTTAAAATTTTGTTTATAATTTATTTCATTATTTAAATTTTAATAGATGTTTTATTTAATTTCATTATTTAATTATTATTATTTTTAAAAATAAATTTATTTAAAATATTAATTAAAAAAATAACATATATTGTTATTGATATTTTATTTATTTAATTTAAAAAAGATTAATTTATTTAATTGTGTAAAAAATAAAATAAAATAAAATTTTATTTAATCTAGGTAAAAAATTAAAATAATAAAGATATGTTTAATATTGCTATTACTTAGTAAACAATTAAAAAATGGCAAAATAGTCATTTGTTCATTTATCCTATCCAGTCCGTCCAACCAAACGTTGGATTCACTAAAAATAGTTCTTTTCAGACATCTAATCCCATGAAAAAAACAAACACAAGATACATATCTAATCTAACCAAATAGTCCGGGAGATTCACAATTCTAGGATTCAAGTCCGATGGATTCTAATCTCCCCTTATCTAGTCTGTCCAATCAAACACACCAGGTGTGTTTGTTTTGAAAGATTAGGGTATGGAATTGGACTATTAGTCCCATCAGACTAATAGTCCGTTGTTTGTTTGAAAATTTTTGCTCCGGACTATTAGTCCCACAAATATGGGACTATCCTATCTTATGGGGGGTTTGATGGAAATTGACATGGATAGGCCCATAAGGCTTACATCCCACAGCAAACAACCCCAAACCCATCGCTTGGGACCCATAGCATAACCCGGTTGGCAAAGCCCAGGACAGCTGGAGGCCTTCTGGGCATGGAGGGCCAATGACATTCGGGTACATGGCAGGTGAAACACAGGCCACATCAGCAGACAAAGATCTGCAGAGTTATTGCCACAACACATCACCATTAATGCAGCCCATCACAGCATTTATTACGACAACACCTCCCCGTCGGAACAGAGCCCCCTCACCCTGAACAAGGTAAGCTACGGCACAGGCTTTCGGCGGAAAGGGGGCACGTCACAAAGGACAGTGAAATGATTACCAAAGGATATAAGCAACAAGAGAAGCACAAGAATAAGGTTAAGCTTTTTATCTCTCCATCTTCTTCCCTACATTTCCCTGTTTTCCTCTACTAATTCTCTCGCCGGAGGGTTCACTGGGGGACTGCCCCGTTCCCCTTTGGACTTGCTTGCAGGTCATCTGGTGGAATCATCCGCTTGAATCGGAACTTGGAGAGCTTGGACCAGCCCGACCCATCCACCAAGGACGAACTGCATCATCAGTTGGCGCCGTCTGTGGGAACCTGTGGCTTATTCGTGCGCTAGTTGTGTTCACTATCGCCGGAGCCCCCCTTTTCTCACCGTTACCTTTTCCTCTCACCCGTCCAGGTGTATGGTCACGACTAGGTCCATGGCTTCTCACCATAATACCGCTGATCATCAAACAGACCCTTTCCATCCAAACAACCCACCACAATACATCATCGAACTTACTAACAGCATTAACCGCATGGCCGAGCAAAATCAGGCCCTGATCAGTGCTTTACTCCAAAGGAACCTCCCCGCTCCACCTCCAGATATTCCACCCAACCAAGAAAGAACCCCGGTCCACACTGCTCCACAACCCCCTCCGCTCAACCCAGAAGGTTTACAACCTCCTCTTTCTCCACATATGAGCCTACCACCTCCACCTCCACGCCCGTCAGTCGTAGCACTAGCCCCTGAAGGGGAAGCCAGCAGTGTCCAGCCTCCATTGACCGACCATGGCGACAACATTCCCCTCTGGGACGCCGAACTCCGAACTATGAAGCTCCAACTACAAGGGGTCATGCAGAACATTCAGCACAAGCCCTCAGTCACCGCCAACTCGCCTTTTGTTGCCTCCATCCGCGACAAACCATTGCCCGCCAAGTTTAAAATGCCCACCATTGACTCCTTCGATGGCACAACGGACCCAGTCGACCATCTGGAAACCTACCGCACCCTCATGATCCTCCATGCTTTCCCTAACGAGATCATGTGCCGAGCTTTCCCCGTGACACTAAAGGGATCAGCTCGGTTGTGGTTTAGCCAGTTACCGGCGGACTCTGTCTCTACCTTTCAACACCTCAGTGACTCCTTCCTGAGCCATTTTATCGGAGCCTAGCGTCAGAGACGTCCAGCCACCCAACTCCTTTATATTCGTCAGACCGAGGGGGAGTCGCTCCGCAGCTTCGTCACTCGCTTCAACACCGAAGCCCTTCAAGTAGCGGAGAACGACGACAAGGTCATCCTCACGGCTTTCATGGCCGGCCTACGGTCGTCCGATTTTCTTTTCTCCCTCTTCAAAAACCCTCCAACCACCATGGCAGCCCTACTATCCAAAGCCCAGAAATACATGAATACTGAAGATTCCCTGGCCGCTCGGCAAGAGCCGATCACTAAAAATCCGACCCCCAGAGACAAGAGGAAAAACTCAGAACCCAGGACTGCCCAGTATAATAGCTACACACCCAACTATAATGACCGACCCCACTGAGCCGACCAGTCGGCTCCGACCCGACCGCCCGGTTGGTTCGAGCAGTACACACCACTCAACTCTCCCATGGAACACATCCTCAATCAGATCCAGTGGGACTACCCCCTCAAATGGCCCCTGCCTTCACGAAACCCTTCTAATCGCAAAGATCAGTCCAAATACTGTCGTTTCCACCAAGACCATGGCCATACCACCGACGAGTGTATTAACCTCAAAGATCAGATCGAGACCTTCATACGTCAGGGCCGCCTCAGCCGATTCACAGACACCCACCCTCAACAGAGGCAAAGAACCGACCTTCCCAGGAACAATCGCCGGCATACACCACCTCGGAACCAAGCCCCACCTAACCAAGGTCATGATCGCCCACCACCACAGCCCCGACCTCCAGGCAATCCCCCTCCACCAGTCGGAGAAATCAGAGTCATTTCAGGCGGCCTTGCTTGCGGGGGACAATCCCACTCGACTTAGAAGGCAGAGCTCAGAAAAATAAGGCGGGGCTCAGACAAAGCAGTGGCGACGGTGGACCGACCCCCCAAACAGTCAAAACGGTTGATCGAACCCATCACCTTCACGGACACCGACTGTGCAGGAGTCCGTTACCCACATGATGACCCCCTTGTCATTTCCGCCATCCTCTCCAACTACAAGGTCAGACGAGTCCTCATAGACAACGGCAGCTCTTCAGACATCATCTTCCTCAATTGCTTCCGCCAGCTCAAGGTTAGGGAAGAAAGCTTGTCTCCCCTCCAAACCCCTCTGGTCAGTTTCACCGGCGACCGTGTCACCTCCATCGGCTCCATCGATCTACCTATAACCATTGGCGAACACCCGAGGCAGACCACTAAGTTGCTCACCTTCCTTGTGGTCGACTGCCCCTCTGCTTACAACATCATCCTTGGCCGCACAGCCCTAAACGCCTTCCAAGCCATCACATCCACCTATCACCTTACCATCAAATTTCCTACCGATCTCGGCGTCGGAACTGTCAAAGGAGAACAGACCGTGGCCAGGGAGTGTTATGTCGCCTCACTCAAAGAAGTCAAGCTAAAAAAGGCCATGATCATCGAAGGGCTTGACGTCCGAGACGAGAATGAGCTGGTCAGAGGAGAACCCGTGGAGGAACTTGTTGAAGTTAACATTGATCCCACCAACCCAATCAAAACTGCCAAAATCGGCAGCCAACTACCTTCCCAAGCTAAGGCCGACCTTACCGCTCTCCTGACCGAGCACAGAGATGTATTCGCCTGGACCCATTCAGACATGCCAGGCATTGACCCCTCCTTCATAGCCCATCGCCTCAGCATCGAACCCCACTTTCGACCCCACCGCCAGAAGCAACGCATTTTCTACCCGGAGCGCAACACTCTTATAGCCGCAGAAGTTGACAAGCTCCTCGAGGCCCAATTCATCAAAAATGTGGACTACCTTAAATGGCTGTCCAACGTGGTCCTCGTCCGCAAACACAATGGCAAATGGCGACTCTGTGTCGATTACTCTGACCTGAACCGAGCTTGCTCCAAAGACAGCTACCCCCTTCCCCGCATAGATCTGCTGGTTGACACCACGGCCGGTCATCAAATGCTCAGCTTCATGGATGCCTTCTCTGGGTACAACCAAATCCTGATACACACATCTGATCGGGAGCACATATCATTTATTACCGACCGAGGTACCTACCACTATTGCGTAATGCCATTCGGGTTGAAGAATGCTGGGGCCACCAAATAGGCCGGAATATGGAAGTCTACGTCGACGACATGCTAGTCAAAAGCAAATACTCCTCCGATCACCTCACTGACTTACGAGAGACCTTCGCCACCTTGCGCAAGT